AAAAAAAAAAAAAAAAAAAGATACCAGAGACTAAGTTGAGGTTGGAGAGGAGGGACCAACAGCCTAGAAATTTTGGAAAATAAATCAGTGTCTTGCCAGCATGGTGCTAACGTACATGGTATATAGAAGGGAAGAATGCTATAGGAATCATTCTGAGTTGGCCTTGCTGACTTTGAGGGATATAAGATTCTGGGAGGCAGGAGGAGGGTCCTAGAGTTGCCACTGGAGAAGGGAATTCAGTGTGGACAAGGCCTAGGCATGACCTCAGGAGGAAGCCTGACAGGTCCTGGCAAGAGCAGGGCCTCTCAGAGGCCCAACGGGACTTTGTCACAGACCCTGGGAGGTTTTGAGGTTGGGTGTGAAAACCCTGTGAAAGGCTGTAGAGAATGACCATTCATGTGGGCCTGACAGGCTCCTATATGACATGGAAAATAAGAACAACCCCATTGGCTTTGAAAAGGGCCCAACCTGATCATTAGAGAGAATGGGAGGGTCTGAAGTAGACCTATGCTCTTGAAAGCTAATTTTTTTCCTATACAGAAGAAATTATTTGGAGTGAGCAAGATACTATTCAGTGGAAAAACTGTAAGGATTATATCTGTAGATAAAAGAGTTCTTTAAAGGAATGTAAACTAGTAAGAGCTACAGAGATAATGATAGCTAGTAGACACAACTTGAGCTTTCCAGCTTCTAAAACTGCCTGGCAGTGGGAACAGCGTTCTCCCAGTCCCTCTCCTTTCCCTCATTTCCTGTAAAAATGGCTGCACGCTTGTTCAACCATGGCATGTTAATTATCCCCTCTGTGCATTGGTGTCTTTCCCTGTAACTGGGGATTATAATCCTGTCTACCTTGTGGAGTTGTGGTGAGGACTAAAAAATGTTAATACATGCAAAGCTTACAACTGGGTCTGCCATTTAGTATTTACCCAATAAATGTTAGCCAGCTTTATTATTTGCATCATTCACGTGTTAATGAGAATGTCAAGGCTGCAGGGAGCTGTAGAGGCCATCTGGGACACATTTAGGCAGAAAATCATTTTCAAGCTGGGCCTTGGAAAATGGATAGGATTTCGATTGGTAGAGAAAATAGGGAGAAGACATTCCAGGCACTGGGAATAAACATGGAAAGGTCTAGGCAACATCCAAGAATGGTAAGCAGACCTATTTAGCAGAAACTGGATGGAATGTGTAGGAGAGGGATGGAAAATAAGCCTGAAAGCTAAATTGAGGGCACACAGTAAGGACTACAGAATTCATCTTCTCTCTCTGGCTAGCAATGAAAACTAAGACAGATTTCACTTGCAACCCTCTTCAGTTTGGCTTTGGACTTCCCAATCTAGGGAATATTTTTTCTCAAAGGTCTTTTAACACAGTGCTTCTAAAACTTTATATAGTACAAACCAATGACTTGGGGCCTTCCTAAAATGCAGATTCTGATATGGTCGGTGTGGAGTGAGGCCTGAGAGCCTACATTTTCAACAAGCTTTCAGGTGCTACCATACTCTTTCCGGCTGCTCATCCACGGACCACAATTTCAGTACCAAAGGTCTAATCCAGTGACCTCTTCTCATTCTCATCTTTACCCCCTTCACAGTGTTGGGCCTTGTTCATCTTCCTAAAGCTCTCATCATTGGCTTCGATGACGCTCTCACTTGAATCTTATGCTATTACTTGAAGCTGAGAACGTAGACTAGAAGCCTGCTCTGTAAAAATCCAGTACATATTGACTTGTCTTGAGCACAGCCTTCATCACATAAGACAAACTTGCCATCGGTAACAAGTTCTATAGATAATAGCTATAGCTATAATCTCAAGACCAGTCTTTAGATATGTATTGTCCAAGCAACTCTCAATGCATCAATCTCTTTAGTTTTTTAAATGAAAATATTACAAACCATCTTCTAATAAAAGGCAGGTATATACTGTTATAGAGAACACCTATTGCCCATCTCATAATCCCTCTAGTTTTTTCCTCTGGAAAGTAATCTCCCCTAAAGTTCCCCAACCTACCTGCCCCACCAGTCTACATAGGGATTGGCTACAGTTGATTGTTGCAGAGGTGGGCCCCTGCCAAAGCTGGGTTATTTTGAGTCTTTACCCCAGGATTTTGGACTAGAACTGAAAAAAAAGCAAGTCAGTCTCTTGCTCTCTGCAAGGAACTGAAGCCAAGAGCATGTATACTTAGAGTCTTCTAGGGACCACATTCTGCTACATGGACTGGAAGAGCAGAAAACAGCAGTCAACTGTAAGAAAGAAGACTGATGTGGACACCAGAAGAACACAGGGAAATAGCTACACAGCATGACATATATCTCCATATGGGCTGTGTAGGCAAGGCTTGACCACAGTCTGGCCTGAGTCTTCAGAATGCCCTGTAATTTCTCCAAGTGAAAGGGAAGGTAAGCAGCCTGTGATGAGCTACTAAGAGGCAGTTTCTCCTCCCTATATTGTGGAATATTGCCACAAGGCCATTTGCCCATCCATCTCTCTAGTTTCAGCAGAGCACAAGACTTTCCACCTTACTCCCATGTAGATTACAACTGCAGACTTCAGCATAAGTCTATAAAACTGCTTGGCTGTGGTTTAGAAGTAGGTTCTCAAAAGTAGAGTGACCCACCACTCATAGCACCTACCCTCTGGCCTTCAGTTCAGTGTTGTCTGTGGTACTAGGGCACAGGGAACTGGTACCATGATGACTTGCGTTTGCTGTCTGTGTAAGTAATAAACTCTCTAAATCTATTTTGGCATATTTACTCCTTACCAGGCAAATTTGTGAAACTATGGCAAGCCATCCTAACAGCTGTAGTAGTAATACTTGTGGCCCTATGATTCCCACCTCCCTGCTGCCTTGGAAGAATGCTTCACCACTTCAGAAAGAGAAGAGATGGTAAAAAATAAAACAAAACAAACAAACAAACAAAAACCCAAAGTCAATCAACATATTTACTTTACTCCCAAACAATAAAGATTTGAAACATTTTAGTTCAACAAAAAAAAAGAGATGGCAGTTCACTTCCTGAGTTCCCCTCAGTGCTTCAGCCTCTGATTCCAGTTTGTTCCAGGATTGCATCCTGGACCTTGAATTCCATGAGATACCCTGGTATGTCTCCAATAAACCTCCCAGTTTCTTTTTTATTTCCCCTAAGAAAGCTAGAATGTATTTTTGATCTTTATAAACAAAAGGTCACATAACACACCACACACACACACAAGTTATATTCAATGGCAGTATCAGTAATAGAACTGAGTGCCAGAGAACCAAATGTATTTTCTGTTTTTATTAAAATTCTACCTCTCTTGTATATTGATTGCTTTCTGGCCATTGACCTAGTTTATGTAACAGTTTTAGTCTACATTTATTACAATGCAATAAAGATAAAGTTTTATGAAAATGCTTTTAGTCAAGTAAAAGAGAATATGACTCTATTTTACTATTATGAAAGTACAAAATATACAAATCAACTATGTAACTACTTTTATTTTATAAATGTCCTAATTTTCATTCGTATTAGTTATAATTGTAAGAATTATGATGGAATCACCCATTATGTTTGTGACAAATATTCATCCAACAAAACAGTATAAGTGGGATTAGAGTCTGATCCACTTTTAACATTCTTTGAGTTTAGCAGTGCCTAATACATAGTATGATCATCTAAATCAATATACAGGTGCCTTATGAGTCATTAGTCATACCTTAGGATATTGATCAATTAGCCTCACTTTCCCTTTGGGCCAGCTGAGTTTTCTTTGATCACAAGGCAGGTGATCAGCTGGCAGAGCCTTGGACATTGTGAAATTTAACCTAAATAGTGAATAAATTGGTGCAAATTCATCATCACTACTGGGAAACAACTAAAAAAGTAAGCAGTGGGGCCACTGTCATCATAAAAATGAATGGACGTTATACAATTACCTATAAGAAAAGAATGCCTCAATTGTTATATTAATAGAATGACATCTTTAGGAAAGTGTGCAGATTGTAAGAGCCACATCCGATGGCTTTGGTACCCCTGATATGCAAGCAGCTCGTGACATAATGATAACTAAATATCATTTTCAGTAGTCCCTTATAAAAAGTCCAAATTTGTTTGAAAATAAAGTAAATTTTACCTAGTCAAAATTAAACATTAGACATCTTCTAGTCCGTGTCTTAATGTGATTTATTAGAGTTACCATAATATAATTTATTAAAAGAATAGCTGCATTTATAAAATGTTTTATGGCGATGAGCCAGTTATAATAATTACTTTACATATTTACAATAAAAATGCATCACAGTATGTAAGATTAAATTTTCAACCTACTCATAATTTATATTTTAAGTATCTTTAAATTACATGCACATGACGTATCTTATGGTTAGTAACTTTCTCCGGCCACATTTAGAGGTAATTATTTCCAAGATTAGTTATAATAGATTTTTTTCTAAATGTTTTTTTTTCCCACAGCAGAACTCTCCATAAATTGTGAGCCCTTTATATCAAAGGTGTTTATATGTGTTAACAGATGCATTTGATTTCAATGTGCCTATTTAAGGCACAAACGTCCGCAAGCAAGCGGAGCATGCAATGAGAAGCCCTGAGGAGTCCTGACCTAAGTACTCAGAGGAGGGAGGCAGGATTTATACAAGATCTGAGTTAGCTTGTAAGAGTCGGGAGCGCGGAATTTTGAGGAGGAGGGCAGAACTGCGGTTGGACACTTGTCCGCGAAATGCTGTCGGGACGCGCGGTAGGGAAAACGACTAGCCTCCGGCGGGGCGGCCTTCCCAGCAGAACCACCGGCCACGACCTACCGAGAAGCCTCGCGCGCTAAGCCGACATCCGGCTTGGCCGGCATCTTCGCAAGCTGAGTAAGTGGGCGAGCTCGCACCCTGAACGCGGGTTGGCACAGCCTCTCCTGGTACAGAGAGCCGGGGCTGGAGGTTGATCCTCGGGCCCAGTGGCCCCTGTGGAGCGGCAATGCAACAACTGCTGGAAGGCGGAGGTTCGGGGCGCAAATTTGCCGCGTGATCTCCGGGCGGTCGGGCCCTGTCCGCTGCGCTCCTTCTGGGGCGCCCTTTGCTCGGAGGAGGTCACTGGAGAGAAAACTCGCTGATGGAGTGGGGTTTGCCCACTGCAGCGGGTCAGGCTTGATTTCCTCGATTGACGCCCAAAGCTTCCCTGTCAGGAGCCTCCTGCGGAGTTTGTCGAGCTGGATGAGCTGTTTCTGATAACGCAAGTGAGGGGACCCGGGCTTGGAGTTCCAAGTGCAAGGCTGGGGCGACCCCTTGTTTCTTTTGGCAAGCCAGAGCACAGTGCAGTTCGAAAGAAGCGACTGCTAAATGAATTCCTCGGAGTTAGTTGTCCTGAAATTGTGGACTGTAGCAACTAAGTCAAGTCAAAGCAAATCCAATTTACAATTATCTTATAATTGAGCTAATGCACTACTTTACCAAAAATGGTTTTGATTTAAGGGAATATATCTCATACCTCATCAATGTGAGTGTTACCTACTGAAAGACCAAAAAAAAGAAAAGGCCTGGTTACAAATAAGTCTCTCCTACACCCAGGTCAGTGGTTCTCAAAGTTTGGTTTTAGTACCCAGCATCATTAGCATAATTTGTGAATGTGTTAATCTCTGGGGATAGGGCCCAGAAACTTGTCTTTTAATAATTTTAACAAGTTCTCTGGTGATTGTTATGAACGTTAAAATTATGAACCACTGACCTAAATCATTAAGTAACTTACAGTATATTCTCTCTATAAAACGTTTAATTACTTATACTTGCCCCTTACCATAGTTAGCAAAACTAAAATACAAATTTATACTGTTTTTAAACCACAAGTTGCAAATGCTATGTAGAAGAGATACAAGATTGTGAAATTTTAGAAAAATAGAGTAAAAGGGAGAATTGAGAGGCTTTGGAATCCCTCTTGTCATATTTCTTAAACCTGTTCATGCTAAACATATTTAGTTTGAGCCATTTAAAATTGCCATTTTTGAAGGTCAAGACCATTGAATAGCAGCAATTTAGGATAGTTCAACTTAATACATATGCTTTCCAATCAAATGTACAGAATACAATAAATTAGTCATTATTTTTATTTTTTAGGCCAAGCCATTAAAAGTTAGTGATATCTGACTGGCAAAATTATTTAAAGTGTTTGAGGAATTGGGAAAACTTACTGTTTGTGTGATCTGATATGCAAAAATAAAGTTTCTCATATGATTAAATATTTTATTAAAATTGCTAAGTTTGAAAATGTTTACCAAGAATAGTTTTCAGAAATTTTTCTAACTAGATAGAATAAAAGCTTTTAAGAAATATCTTTCAGTCTTTTACTAATATGGGGTCTTGAGTGCATTAGAAAATCACTTATTCAACAAATATTGAGAACCTATTGTATATTAGGCATAGAAACAGAATTGCAGAGCTCATAGGAAATGTTTCCCTCATTTTCCAAAGTGGAAACTGAGTTTTCCAAAATCACACCAAGAGTAATTTAGGCTTCCTTCTTCTGATAGTGGATTGTAGATTTAAATATTAACCCCAGGCTTAACAAACTACATTCTGTCACACAGAAACCTGTAAGAGTTAAATGCCCTCCAAATTAATTTCATTTATTTGTATGCAAGTGGAGAATTTTTTAAGTTTAAAGAATATTGGTCTCAACTATTAAACCCCAGGACACACACTGAACCAAATCGTACATTCATTGAGAGCTTACTAAGTATCAGCACTTTCCTAGATGCTGACAATATAACTAAAAATCTGCCCCCAACTTGTCACATGTATAATCTAATGAGGGAGATCCTACTATCTTGCAGTGTAAGTAAATTTTTGCCTTCCCTAGATTATTCAGGAAAGGCAATAATACGTTTAGGTAAAGATTTTTTTTAGACAGAGTCTCACTACGTTGTCTGGTTTCCCAGGCTGGCCTCAATCAATCCTCCCACCTCAGCCTTCCAAGTAGCTGGGATCGCAAGTACAAGCCACCACACCTGGGTAGGTCAAAAGTTAAAGACCGCCTTTTGACATCATTATTTCCATGAGTATCTTCACCTCTGAAGATTTCATCTGGAGTAGGAGGGTGCAGGTTTGTGGTCTCACTAAGACCCCAGCCTCTCAACAGCCCTAGGATTCAGTCAGAAAACTCTCCCAGATCGCCTTTCAAATACCCTGTTAAAAAATTGCTTCCTCTTTTTTACCTGTCTGCACTAGAACAGATATCTTTAAGTGAAAAAAAAGCAAGGCCTGATATCACATGTAATCCAGCCCGACACCTCTAGAAGATAGTTGCAGAGATGCTGCCTACGCATAAGAACATTCTGGAGTTTGGGAGTCAGCAAGAGCCAATTCAGAGTCAACAAGTACCCACTGCGCTAAGAGCTCTGATTATGGAATATATCCCTTATCTGCAGTTAAATTTGCTCTTGGACAATATTGGAATGCTGGACGGTTTAGCACTGGGGAACAATGGTAATATTTGCTTGACCTACTAGATTCCCTAGACTCAATTCATCACATTGTTCTTTCTGTTATTATTTTGAATAATGATGTAATGACTTGCAGTAAGAGCAAAACTGCTAAAGTATCAAGCTTATACTTTTAAAATTATTGATTTATTTAGCTGATCTTTGTAGAGAATTACATAATTAAATTTTTGATTTATCTATCAGGAACTTTAAAATACCCACTGAACTTAAATACCTCACAATTTCTTCAGTGTCTTTTTGGAATAAAGTTTATGTATTGGGTCACTGCATCAGTTACAGTACAACACCAAATTAATAGTGGCGTAAATAAGATAAATTTATTTACCCCTCATGTAATAACCCAATGGTAAGCTACAAATAAAGCTCCAGCTAGCAGAGGGAGAAAGGTAAGAAAAATAAAGAAAATCTTGGAAACTGCAATAACCTCATTTGCCAGAACTTGAATACGAGAACTATATCTGCGTATTAGGGAGGTTGAGAAATATATTTTTGTGGGTGGCAATGTGTCCAGCAAAAAGACATTACGATTACGGAAAAAGAGGAGAACATTTAGGAACAACCAGCAGTCTGCCACAGTTTGGGAAAAAAGTTTAGGAATCAAGACCTATACTTTAAGATGACAATATTTGCTCATTTTTCACAGATTTTGTTTTCCTCAAGGCTAAAGTTTATGTTAGTGTCTAACTAGAAAATGTAATGTAATCCCATGATACTCACTGTACTGTGACTAGAACCATATTTTAAAGTACCATTCATTTAAAGATATATAGCAATTGCAGGCCCAAAGTCTCCATTTTCAGTGTCAAAACACACTCCGTACATACACACAGATACACACACACAAACAGAATTTGGCATACATGGAGCCTATCCATGGAATAGGGTAGGAAGTTGAGGAGAGTGGTCTGGATATCAGATTAAGGAATGTTGACCAGCGAAAGAGATTACCTATTAACTCTTGAACTATTCAAGTGATCTATTGTTCTATAATATTCTTATGCAGAATTATTAGAAGTATTATGTGCTTTAAAATCTTTGGGTCTGAGTATCACTACTTGAAACTTATACTTGACAAATACCAAGGCATCATGTTGTTATGAAGGACAAATTTTAGGTTCTGTGTATTAGATTATCCTCCATCACCTAAAGGCATTTCTAAATTCCAAGGAACTCTACTGGACAGTGTGAATGAAATAGTTAATGAGGAAACTTTTTTTTTAGCATACTTTATTGTGATAGAATAGGAACAACATGAAGAGGTCATTCATATGCCAGAATTCTGTTTTTTGGAACATAACTGGGAATTTAGGAGCTAAAAAGGCCTCTAAGTGGTTAACTTGTAGGAATCCACTTTCATCCTAAAACCTCCCTAGGCCATCACTTAGAACTAATTTTAGACCCAATTCTTAAAAAGGTGGAGATCTAATGTCTTGGTTCATATCAGATTAGAACATAGTAACCTAATATTTAGAATGTGGGGTTGGGTTGGGGAGAATAGGGGAGGTTCTATTATAGAAAAGTGAAGATGAATTTGCAATCTTCAGGCCATATTGAGCCTACCTAGCCAATTGCAATAATTATACCATTCATTGAATGCTGACCTTGTGCCAGACACTGGGCTAACTAAGCACTTTGTAACTCATCTCATTCACAATATCCCTGTGACAGAGGTAGTCTCAACTACATTTTACAAAGGAGGAAACTCTGGCACTGAGGTTAAGTAACTTACCTGAAGTCACACGAGTATTTGGCTGAGATCTTATTTGAACCTAAGTATGTATAACTCAGGAGCCCTCTATTATTAGGCTGTATTATTACACTAGACAGAGTGATCCTCTTAAAGCATATTTCTGATATCACTCACCTGTTCTAAGCCACCTAGTAGCTTCCTGTTATCTTTAGAGTAGAATCCAATCCTAGCCGTAGCCCAAAAGGTCCTATGATATTTAATTTCTGGTTACTTCTCCATACTTATTTCCTAACACTCTTTCACTCTGTTCTTGTCACACTGATTTTCTTGGCATTTCTCTGAACACCGCAAGCATGCTCCCATCTTTGCATTTGCTTTTCCCTGTGCCAGGAATGTTCTTTTCCTAAACATTCCCGTGGTTTTTGCTTCACTTCAGACTTCTGCACAAATATTACTTTAACAGGTAGGTTTTCTCTATCTTAAATAGCACCTTTCAATAGCTATTATCAAAAAGACAAATGATAACAAATATTGACAAGGGCGTGGAGAAAAGAGAACCCTGGTACACTGTTGGTGAGAATGTGGATTGGTACAGACATGGAAAATAGGATGGAGGTTCCTAAAGAATTGAAAAATAGAACTGCCATATAACCCGGTAATCTCTCTTCTGGCTATATTCCCAAAGGAGATGAAATCACCACCTTGTAAAGATATCTGCACTTCCATGTTCATTGTAGCATTATTCACAATAGCCAGCATATGAAAATAACCTGTCTATTGACATTTAGGATGACTAGATAAAGAAAATGTGGTCAACCCACACACTATGGAATATTATTCAGCCTTGAAAAAGGTGATCCTGCCATTTGCCACAACATGGATGGACCTGGAAAATGTTATACAAAGTGAAGTAAGCAGACAGAAAGAAAAATATTGCATGATCTAATTTTAAGTTTAGAGATCATGAGGACTAAAAGTAATTATATTATATCTTGCTTCTTAAGGCA